AACAGAGTGAGGACATTTTTGGAAAGCGAGGACATTTTCCTCAATTTTTCAATGGGCTGTTTGAGAGTTAAGACTTGGGCTAGAATAAGGTTTAGGTTAGTGTAAGGGTAAAGCTGGGCGATAAAACGATATAGAAAATGATCACGATATAACGTCGATAGAACTCATCCCATCTATGTTTTAATGGACAACATGAAAAGCCAATGATAATGAGAATAGCACCGCCCCGAACCAATTATGTTAGAATATGGACTAGATAGTGAATATTCCATGTGATGGAATCACATGATCAGTTCAAGTGTGAAGAGGGACAGAGACGAGCGGACACACACAAACACTCACACTACAGCAGACAGAAGTTCCTCCCACAAATTATGACGTAACACAGTGTTTTAACTTCTCTTTTGCAGAAGAAGTGACGCCTCATTTATCCAGGAACATAAATATGAATTCATCAGGTTTTTATAAAGATCGGTTCTACGTGTGAGCAGAGGAGAAGAGTCACTTATTGACCAGCAGAGTGATGTGCCTCAGTGCGTTGGTGCTGATTTAAGCTAAGATAAGATGAAACTTTATTTATCCACACACTGGGGAAATTCAGTTGTTATTTTTTCCCATATCGCCCAGCTCTAGGTAAGGGTTAGTCATTTAGTTTGGATGGTTACGGATAGGATAAGGGGTTCTGGAATGTATGATGTCAATGAGTGTCCTCACAAAGATAGAAGTACAAATGTGTGTGTATGTCTGCACACATAAGCATGTAACATGTACTTACCTCTGCTTTCCACTGTACTGACGTGACACCAGAGACCTAATTCTCTATGTAGGATCAGCCACATTATACTTGTGTCATGAGTGAATGTTTTCAAAATCTGGAGTGCATCTATTTGCACCACTTTCTTTATCACACATCAATCTTCCACTAGTGGCACAGCTGTCAGGGGCAATTCGGGCCTCAGTATCTTGCCCTGGAACACTCTTGTTAGTGGATGTCCAGCTCTACCTCCTTAGCCAGTGCCCCCAACAAATGCAGTCTTAATATAGCAGCCCTCTTGTAAATCAAACCTACATAAGGAAAATTATGATTTGTCCTTGTGAAACTTATTCTACATGGGTCGATACACCTTAATAATTAATTTTAGGGCTGCTGCATGTCGTACTGTTTCATTGTACTATATTATACTGAGAGGGGCTTTACATATTTTGTCTTGGTGATATTGTATATATTTGTAACTGTTTTTATCATGGCACATTCAGTATGTGGTTAATATGTGCAGTTGAACTCTGAAAAGGCCACATTATGCTTTGCTCTGATGAAATGAAATGGTTTCTTAAAAACAAGCAACATGACGAAGGTTGTGCCCTGATCTGACGTGTTGTGGTACACATTTAATAGGTCAGTTTAATGTTCTTTCAAAATGAAACTGGGCTGCAGATGCAGGTATTCTTTTACTCTCTGTTTAGTGTTAAACAGTGGCATTGAAATATCCTCATCACAGAACAACAACAACAAACATGCCATACTTCTGTGCAGATCCTCTCAAGCACTTTCAGGTGAGCTGGTAGCCATTTTCAGGTTCCTCCATGTATGTTCAGTTCGGTTCAAGTCAGGACTCTGTCTGGGCCACTGGAGGATATTTACAGAGTTGTCATTAAGCATCTTGAAATCCTTTAAAAACATTTTAGTTAAATATTTGTACTTAATGTTAATACATGAGCTACCACTGCAACTCATAAATCAACCTTGGTGTATTGCTCAAACTTCACCTCACATTGTTTTTCTGTGTTAAGCAGTGGAATAAGCTGCTTTCAGACATGCACTTAAATCTGGAGAATCATTCTCTGGAGGGGATGAGAAAGCAAAACGCAAATCACCGGACCCAATTGAGCAGACATACCTCCAGAGTTCATGTCCGAAAACCCCCATGGTCTGCACCATCACTGTATCATAGCACAATTGCAGTGTTCTCACATTCAAACCCCCCATTTTAACAAATGTCTGTGAGCCTCACTAAAGTCTGCTAGTTGTCATTGTATCATTCCTGTCTGCTGTGATGTCCTCTATATTTACAATGAAAAATTATAACTCACAGATAAAGAAGGGGAGATCTAAATTTATAGCAGACTGTCACAGTCCAGGCATCAATCACTTGAATGTTTGTGATATGTGAATTAAAGGCCTGATTTGTGTGTGTGGGTGTGTATGCGTGTGTGTGTGTATGCGTGTGTGTGTGTATGCGTGTGTGTTAATGTACAGTAACTGGTTGAGACTCTGGGCAGCAGCTGCTCTGGCACGGTGCTATGTTGAGGTCATAGTCTTGTGATTTAAGAGGCTATGTGACACTTCATCTCATTACAGTCGAGAGAGAGAGTCCATCTTCATTGTGTATCCTGATGCTAAAGAATAGATTACTAAACCTAAATGTTAAGTTATGCTCTGATCATTTTTTGAACTGTTCACCAATTGCTTGAAACGACATTGGTCAATACCTGATTTTATTTTCATTAATCTGAATCAGAAATACTTAATTGATCCAGAGAGGAATTTGGATCATGTTAAATATGCTCTATTCTAGAATAGAGGACATGATTGACAGCATAGAACAAGAAATATTCCACATTATGCATCTTAGCTCCTTTTATTAATAATTACAATGCAAAATACATACTACACATGCAAGCAACATATATATAATCGTTGTCTGTATCAATTCTGAATTTATAATATAATATTAATATTTTCCATCACTCATTTGCCTGCTTTTTCACCTGCTTTTAATTCACTCATAGCATCATGGCTGGAATTTGAAGAATGGATATGAAATTTTCTCACCTCTGATCGGGGACTGTAGCGATGGTGTACAGGCACTCAGATTGAATGTCACAGAATCTGTTCTTGACTGTTTACGCCACAGTCAGTGTTTGTTTTCTCAATAACAGGAGTTAGAGTTCTACTGTTGTCTTTCATAAGGCTGCAGACATGTATACACTGTTTTTATATGGTGGTAGGCATACATCAGTGAAATATTAACACCCTGAGTTAAGCCTAGTTTATGCTTCTGCACCGCGTCGACGCGGACCCCTACGCCGTAGCCTGACGCGCACCTCCAAAAAATCCTAACTACGCGTCGCGTTGACGCGGACAACAAGCGCTGTGATTGGTCCGCTCAGAACGTAAGTTCTGGCAGTTGCTTTTTCTGGTCTTTCTTCCTCGTCGTACAGACCACCTCCGCAAACATCTTTTCTGTCGTCTGCGCTTCAACATTTGCAATATAAGCATTTCTTCTTCAATATTGATGCGCTCCAACTCCAAATACAGCTGCTCCACCTCGGTCGCCGTTGTTTACTGTGATCGGAAGATTCGGCTATAACCCATAAACCACACAAACACACAGCCACACCCCCCTAGCGGCATGGCGGTGAATTGCAGAGCAACGCGTTCCCTCGACGCAAAACTTTGAATGCTCAACGAAGGCGTCACATGACGGTGTAGGTACAGGGTCGACGTGACGCAGAAGCATAAACTAGGCTTTAGGGCTGGGCGATATGACTTCAAATCAATATCATGATTATTTTATTTTTATGTATTTACATCTGTCCTGAGTGATAAGATCACACAAGTGGACAATGTTAAGTACATGTGTAAATGCACCCAAATAGGTCCTGAATGAGTCTTTAAAATCTGAACCCTCAAACCACTTTGGGTGGGTCTGGAACGCATGTTTATTTGTGTCCGCTACCACATTCGCATGCTTGCTCTAGCTATCGTCCATAAAATTTTCACCATCCACATGAGAAGTTCTATTTCACTCTTTGGCCTGTGTATGTCACTCTGAATCTGTTGTACATATATATATATATACTTATAGTGATCACTTTTGATCATGCTCAGATTGGTTGGCAGTGTGCAGCACGAATGTTAGACACCGAGAATTTCAGAAGACCCAAGAGGACTACTTGATCTATAACCGAATTATACCACCCCCGCCTAATTTCCGGCTTGGAAAAACACTGCATATGCACTCTTGTAACTTTCACCAGCAAAAAAGAAAGAAAGAAAAATTATTTAACTAAACTAAAATGCTATGTTTTCCATAACTGTTGCACACTGATCTGGATTAATGCCAGTGAGATGGGGCTCTGTGTTCTCCTAGGAGCCCTTCTCTTTGCTCTTGCTCACTTCCCCTTCCTGTCTGCAACAGGAAGTCAGCCTTGCCGGGTTTCAGATAGACTCATCATCTTCATGTCTCTTATCAGGAAAAGGGGAGCTCAGGGTTGCATACGTGCATATGTTTTGTTTGTGTGCATGTGAATGTGTGTGTTGATGCAGGATGCATGCTTTTCATTTTTTTTCACTGACAGGCCGTGCTCGAACAATCTATTTTTGGCAGGAGCTGGGTTTTGGGGCAGTCCCATTAGCTTCGCTTGATTAAGTCATTAAAGTCATCTACCCATTCCTAAGTGGCAAAGCAAAGCTCCTGTCACACACCATCACCGTCCACACTGCCGAAGCCATTGTCGAGGGCTCGGCAGTTACACAATATTCTTTCTTGCTGTCGAAGGTCATGGCGTAGGTCAGGTTACCCAAACAAGCTGGAATGCAAAAAAAAGCACCATGTTTGGCCTCACACAGTTGTTCATGTTAAAAAATGAAAGTGTCTAGTTCTAGTATATTGCTGCCACTGTTGTTATTTTTTCCGGTTGTATTCATTGTATTTTGTCAATAGATGTGCTTGTCTGGTTAGACTGAGTCTGGCTCTGTGATTACTGTGTCATCACAGTAATTTTCACATGCACCGCGGCTGTGTCCTGGAATTACTGCCTGTAGATAAGTGTCAGCTACATACCATTACCGTGAATTTATCGTTTACTTTTATATAGCGAGGTTGTAAACACTTTGCATGGTTAAAGCTGAATGTTTTTTTCTTTTTCTCTCCTTCATCCTCTGTTATCATTCATCCTTATTTCCCCCTTAATTGCTCCCTTGTCTCTGTCTCAAGGTGGCTATAAAAATAGTGGATAAGACCCAGCTGGACGATGAGAACCTGAAAAAGATCTTCAGAGAGGTGCAAATCATGAAGTTGCTGAAGCACCCCCACATCATTCGTCTCTATCAGGTACACACTCGCCCACGAAGGCGACGAGCTATACTGCTGAGATCTTACACCTGAGACTTGTGGCCCAATAGAAAACAAACTGAATGTGTTGGTTAAGGAGGATCTGATGTTACCTGCCTTTTTTTTCCTTTTTACTTATTTACACAAAAATATTGGCTATAGCTGTAAAATAAAAGGGAACATTTTATTTGACATTCACTGATGCAAAACTGGGGGCTGTTTAGTATAACCATAGTCTTGAGGAAAGACAGTTTCTTATTGGCTTTCACTTCTTCAGGTGTATGTGGATTGTAACACAAAACCAACCCAGTCTTCACTTAATCACAAGAACATGGCCTTAAAATTTGGATAATTAATGCTGACTGTAAATCCTCACACATAAATATACTGAATACCACACTGGCAGATTTTGTTATATAAATCTGCCCGTTTGTATGCCAAAGAATGCTTACTCATTCTGTTGTGTAACGGGCGAACCACCCATCACTAGATGTTGGTCTGTCCGATGATCTGTAGGTCCTGTTTGATATCCTTTGTTTATGTCCTTAGGTGATGGAGACAGAGAGGATGATTTATCTGGTAACAGAGTATGCGAGCGGTGGAGAGATATTTGGTAAGGGAGTTCCCCACTGTTACCGTGGGACTTCATTTTTGTTATTGACTTTGCTTTTTAGTTCGTGTTTCTGTTGTTGTTTTAGTGCTGTTCAAATATGCAGTTTGTCCAAAGTGTCTTAAAAAAATTTGCAGCCCATCAGCTTTTAAATATCTTCAAATGTTGCTAAATATATAGTCTAAATGTAATTTGAATTTTGGTAATGAGAGAGATTTGTTATTATTTCAGTTCATTCTTGTATTACAGCAAAAAAATTTGTATCAGCACTGCTTGGTTTCTTGATTTATGGTTATCTTTATATCGTCTCTCTGTCACTTAAGCACTCATTAAGTTCAAATGTGCCTCACCGATGCTGCAAGTCAGATTCAGTCTCCAAACAGTCGTAGCCTTAGCTGACTGTATGTTAACGTCGTCTGTCTCTTGGGAAAAACAGCCCTTCAGTTTAACTAAACCTTTAGCTGCAGATGCACTGTGCCTGTATACCACAAATCTCTGAGCTGTACTTTGTCTGTGTGCTTGTGTGTAGACCACCTGGTGGCTCATGGGCGGATGGCAGAAAAGGACGCCAGAAAAAAGTTCAAGCAGATCGTGGCAGCAGTTCATTTCTGTCATTGCCGCAACATTGTCCACAGAGACTTGAAGGCTGAGAATCTGCTCCTGGACCACAACCTCAACATCAAAATCGCAGGTGTGTGTGTGTTTGCGCTTAAGAATGTAAGGGCGGTTAACTTAATTTAGTGGTTTTGGGCCGTCCTAGTGAGTAGGTGTAGGCAAGTGACAGCATGTGCTTTGGGAGCATTTTCCTCATTTGATTTAATTTTCTCTGCTGAGGAGTGTGATAAGATTTAATAAACTTCTCTCCCCTGTCAGATTTTGGCTTCAGTAACCTGTTTTCTCGAGGCCAGCTGTTGAAGACGTGGTGTGGCAGTCCTCCCTATGCCGCACCAGAACTCTTCGAGGGCAAGGAGTATGACGGGCCAAAAGTAGATATATGGGTGAGTAGACTTTTAGTTCTACATCAGGCCCTGCTGTGGTGTATCATAGGGTGTAGCTATTGAACTTGAACTTTCCAGAAAGAAAGAAGAATCTTGAATAGGCTATCGTCATTTGATTGTCCAAATTTAACTCATCAGTCTAAAAACTATAAACTCATAGTCTTGTTTTCTGCTGTCTTTTCTATAGAGCTTAGGTGTGGTGTTATATGTATTGGTGTGTGGCGCCCTGCCTTTCGATGGCAGCACTCTACAAAATTTGCGAGCACGTGTCCTCAGTGGCAAGTTCCGCATCCCCTTCTTCATGTCCACAGGTAGGACTTCTGTAAAACCTGACTCCCTCTGTCCACCTTCTCCTCCATGTGGATTTTAAACAACATACGAAGCAAGTGGGTAGACAGAAGAGAATCTGGTTAAGCTGCATTAGAGGGTCAACATTAACAACTGTTCTCTACACATGATACTGTTTGTCACCACCATCTTTTTCAGAAGCTAGAATTTGGGTCTACATGGCCGAGTTTTTGATTAAAAGATGTTGACTGCAGTTTCGTTAATAGTATATTTTAGAAATAAATGTCGTAACAACTGGCAGTAAGGTCATCACTTTCACTAGTTTAATAAAGAAAACTACTTGAAAATGGCTTTTTATCAAGCAATTTAAGCTGGTAAACACTGTTTCCTGGTTATTATAACTATTTCTTTGCAAAAATAAACTATGTATTTATGTTACAAGTGATGTTGTCTTATGTGAAAATGCATCTGTGTGTTACCACAGACTGTGAGTACTTGATCAGACACATGTTAGTTCTGGAGCCCAGCAGACGGCTGACCATGGAGCAGATCTGTAAGAACAAGTGGATGAGACAAGGAGACCCGGACCCTGACTTTGACAGGGTGAGGCCCCTACAGAATTATTCAGAGAAAAAAAGCTCTACACATCTAATTTTCCACTTCACAATTAAGCAATTTTATTTCAAACAAACTGCTTTTTGTTTAACTTTTTCCTGAAATGCTTCAAACTTTGTTCATGAAAAAGGCTATGGAAGTCTGACACAGCCTTTCACCATTTATATGAAAGTCTGCTCATAATCAACTCTTCACCCCATTTCTTGTCTCTTCCAGTTGATAGCAGAGTGTGTGCAGGTGAAGACGGAGAGAGAGACAGAGCTCATCAACGAGCAGGTGCTCATAGCCATGTCTGAGATTGGCCTGGACAGAGAACGCACACTTCAGGTTGGACACAAAATGCCGCTATTTATTTTAGGTTTCAGAACTTTTTCTCAAAAGTCATCTTGATTTTAACATCCTTTTTTTTTTTTTTACACCATAGTCTCTACAAACAGATGCATATGATCACTACAGTGCCATCTATAGTCTGCTGGCCGACCGCCTCAAGAAACACAAGACCCTGCGTGTTGCCCAGCCTCCGCCGCGCTCCATTAGCTATCCCCTTAATGCTGTACAGGTAAGTCATTGTCTTTGGTTGTACCATTATATGATGGGGGGTTACAACCGATTTATCCATGTTGGCACCACTTGACAGCATTGTTAATGAGTTTGGTTCTGTGACATTTTATAATAACTGAACAGTTTCTAGAGCCAGTGGGTCCCAGATTATCTTAACAATTACTGAATGCCACTACGTGCATTCAGTAATCACTTTTGTATATCAAGTCATTATTTTTATGGTTATTTGGTGTGACATGAAATAAGCGTTATTTGGATAAGTTGCTCGTGTTGAAATATTTGAGCTCGGGCAATGTTGCATAAACCAGTCAGTGTTCAGAATGAAACTCACCAGAGACAAACTCTGGCACCAACCCAAACTAGCAGTTACTTGTCAGCCTCAGGTAGCGCTGGAAACGGCAGACATCCAGACGCAGCTCCTTGAGGAGACTGTGAAATCAGCAGTTGATGTCACTTCAAACAGTAATCCTCCACTCCTCTTTTCTGGAGAACAAATATTCATGGTTTTTGTTTACGGCTGTTGTAATGTGCACAGAAACACAAGTAATCCAAACGTTCATAAGTAATCAATTTTTTTTTGTGTTTGATGTGAACCCAACACAAGAGATTCTTCATTGGTATAAAGTTAGAGTTTGATTTGTGAGACCCTGAGGAACAGTGGATATTTTTCAAGGCACCATCAGGCTGATTTCTTCACTCTTTTTGTATCATAGAAGCATCTTTTATTTTTCTTTGATGATTTCTGAAGAGTGTATTGTTTCACATGACTGTTACATTAGCCTGACCTAGTCAGCATGTCTGTCCACTGAGTGAAGTTGATTGACTTTAACCCACATCTGCCAATCTCACTGCACTAAGAAGATTAGAAAATTAGTGCAATCCTTACATCACCTGTGTTTGTGTGTGCTTGTGTGTGTCCGTCCATCCAGCAGACAGATCCACAGGGTAATCCAGTTAGCATGACCGTTCCACATGTCCAGCTCATCAACCCTGAGAACCAGATTGTTGAGGTGAGTTGGGTCGGCCTGGCCTCAGTGTGCGGCCAGCATTGATCAAATCCCAATCATGGCTTTAACTTAGACTTTGACAAGTGACAATTTGCTGGAACAGTCCTTTGTGGCATAAGTCAGTAAACACAGCAACATACGCTTGTCATATATTTGTTGATTTGCTTTTTTGAAATCAGTTGGGATGGGTACCAGGACCGGTAATAGGTTCAAATGTGAACGGTAGCCAACCCTAGAAATAACTGTCTGTCTGTCCATTATTTACAGTTTAGCAGTGCAGTTTATAACTGTTAGTGTAATCTGAAATTTATATTAAGACTGGTCTGACATAATCACACATACATGTAAACATACAGAGCCTACAAACACTGTGAAACACAAGGGTGTGTCAGATTGCTGCATTGCACCAGGGACTTTAATAGAAGACCTGGACTTTGAAGCATGTATATTAAATTTGGATTAAGTTTAATTTAAGATAAATTTTCTGCACCACAGACTTAACTAATGACTATATATATGTGTGTTTTTCTTTTATTGTTTAGCCTGATGGCAACATGGCACTGGACAGTGATGAAGGAGAGGAGCCATCTCCTGAGGCCATGGCTCGCTACCTCTCAATGAGGCGACACACTGTGGGGGTACCAGACCAAAGGTAACACCTTTTGATTGTAAATAATCCAATGGAGCAGTATTACATATTCAGTCAAAAATGGGGAATATTAACCCTTTAAGACTTAAGGTGCACAATTAAAACAACCTCTGAAACCCTGAGGGTTTTCTGAAAGGCTGACAGAATTGATAACGTTGAGAATTTTTTTTATTTCTCAGCCACTCAAGCAGATAAAAATAAAAATATTTGCCATCCTAAACATTGACCTTTCTCGTAAATAATTGCTGTTTCCTTAAACTACTTGAATCTTTGGGTCTGAACCCTTATTGTTATTTTCCTCATTGATTTGAATAATATGTCATATCTCATGTACAAGCTTAGTTCTTGATAACATAACTAAAACCATCGACTCCTTCCTGTAATTCTCTCTCCTACCACAGGACAGAGATGCAGGAGGACCTACAGAAACTGCCACCGGGTTTCCCACGTGGTGCAGTGCCACAGCCCCCTTTCCCCCCACTGGCCCCCATTATGGGCCAGATGCACACTCTCATGCCCACACAGAGCCTGCAGCCCACACAACAGCTGGAGTACAAGGTACAGTGAGTCAGGGTCTCTTGGTTAACAATTAGAGGGTTTCTGGATTCAATCAGTTTACCTGCAGAAACCACAAATGTTTGTACTGGTTGAATCTACATATCAACTTCATTGATTTTTGTCTTTGATCTAATTTCTTTTGGCTGTTGATCCCCCAGGAACAGTCATTGCTACAGCCACCCACTCTGCAACTGCTCAACGGCATGGGGCCTCTGGGTCGAAGAGCTTCCGACGGTGGGGCTAACATTCAACTACACGCTCAGCTTCTCAAGAGGCCCCGGGGGCCCTCGCCGCTTGTCGCTAGCCCGGTGAGTATTGATGTTGTTCCAAAGGTTCTGGATTTCAGTATTTGTGAGGTTTGTTTACTGTCCCATCATGCAAACTGTAGGGGTGCTGACCAGTAAACTCTTTGCCTCTCTCAGCACCCTATCCCTGCAGTAGCTCCAGTGGATGAGGAGGGTTCCGATGGAGAACCAGACCAAGAGGCCGTACAGAGGTAACCCACAGTGATGGTTTTGGGATATTCTTTTCAAAGGTGCTGTCTTTACTGGATCCTCTGGAAGGCCCGTAGCCTGTGACAATAGACTGATGGGTTCTCTATGAATTTTAAATTAGGGATTAGGATCTATACTTATCAGTTCATTAGTTACATTTACATATAAGCCTTGACCTCAAATTATTTGAATATTATTTAAAATAATTTACAAACGTAAACCAAAAACACATCTGCATCATGACTTTCTATTTAGGGTTAACGTCTTACAGGTTACAACAGGGCAGTGACATGCAAAACATACTTTTTACTTGTTATTAAAGAACAGGTATGACCATTGAAAAGCAAGCCACAGGTTTGGTCTACGGAATTATGGTTTTGGATTCAGAAGTCCAGGTTAGGGTTTCCCAGTTGGTCCTCTTCAGACAGTAGCCTCTGCAGACTTCGCTGGTGTCCTGGGTTGCTGGGAGTGAGTGCCTTTAGGCTGCTCTGCTTTTCCCACGGGAGGTGGCCACTCATCTGTGGTGCTTATCCCATCTCTCCTCCTTTTGTCCATCGCGCAAGTGCCTTCTGCCACAATTCCAAACTCAATCTGCCACCAAACTTAGCCCTCCTATCTCTCAAACTCTTTGGCCGAAAACTTCTTTATCTCTCTCATAAAGTGCCAAATTATTTCTCGCTCTTTCTCTCACAGCTTTGCTAACTCTGAGCTTGCAGAACCAGTGATTACAAAAGGCAACCCGGCCAGTCCTTAATTGGAAGCTGGGGGGTTGTGGAATAGCCTCAAGCTTTAACATCCATCTATGGTGTAATTTAACTGTTTTTCTGATTGGCTAAGATGATATGAATGATGGCACCAATTGGCAGAGGTGGGAAGGGGGCGGGCCTCCCCCTTCCTCCATTAGCCAATGAGGACAGAGAGCTGACCAGCGCTGCTTCCTGTCTTTCACCCTCACCCCCGTCCTCCCCCCTCCCTGCGGCCCAGGTACCTGGCGAACCGCTCCAAGCGGCACACGACGCACGCTCTCATGAGCACATCGCATGGCGAGCCCTCAGCAGAGTCACAGCGATCCCAGGGCCCCCGCCAGAGGGGGGGCTGGGCCCCCGACATATACACCCGGTGAGGGGACACGCCCGCTCTGTGCTGTATATGCACAAACACACACACACACAAATGCACAAACACACACATTAAATGCAGGCGATTCAAGCCTAACTCTTCTATCTCACTCACACACACACACACACACACACACACACACACACACACACACACACACACACACACACACACAACACTGCTATACCTGAAGTACCTGCAACAGGGGAAGGTTGTGCATCTTCCAAAGGAGGATTTTTTTTTTTTAAATAATGGCATCATAGGTGGAGACTGTGGCACATGGCAGACATATCTCCATCTTACCAATACACCATGATTCAAAATAACTGTTTATTCCCATCCCAAACCTGGAAAGAGCAGATATGTGACAGGTTTATGCCTGTTTTTGTACAAAAGAATCAATTTAAATCTCTTAGGGGTGTAGCGGTATATGTATCCGAACCCGAAATTTCCAGTACGGGCCTTTCAGTTCAGTACGCACGTGTGCTGAACAAATGCAGCAAGTCCAGGTGCAGGACCTATTGTGTGCGTCTCAAATTCCGAGGGACAAGTTGAACAACCAGGTGTGCTATAGGCTCATGGATGTAGTGACCGCAGACAAACAGGAGTGTGTAGACCCTCCCTCATCATTTAATTTCGCTGTGTGTGAACACTTCAGTTTCACAGTAAACTATGATGACGACGGACATAGACGAGTGGATTGTACAAAAGCTGTTTGCCGAAATTGCACAACTGCTATCAGATATGGTAGCACATCGAACATGCCAAATCGTTTGAAACGGCATCCCCAGAGTGATGTCCCACTAACATTACATTAGTGGGACATGGAAAAATACAAGTTCCGTGCAAACTCAGCTCCACGCTGCATTAAAGCAAACAATTCAGGCCGTGTCAAAGCAATAATGAGCGACAGAGGTGTTTTTATAGCAGCGGATATGCAACCATTCTCTTTTGTTGAAAAAGCAGGGTTCAACCACACTGAAAGTAATCGAGCCCTTTACGAAGTTTCCTATCGTGCGCATTTCAGCCAGCAAATCACACCAGCCCTTTATAAACCTCTTTCCCTATTGTGAGAGTGTTCTCTACAGAGGAGACATCGTTAGAACCAGCAGGGCATCAAACCCTTTGCAAACTATGTAGACAGGTACATTATAGTGAAAAGAAAGAAAATTCATATATTTAATAATGATAATCATTCAATACAATAACGGTGCAGTTTAAGTACAGTTCATATTTTACATGCTGCACATTAATGGATATTTATTTACTATTTTTATATGTTTATTTATGAGTTTTCCTTTGTAAAGACACAGCCATAGTTTAGTTAACCAGGGTTGAATAAAAAGAAATAAAAAAACATTTTAATGTTTTCTGTTCCTTGTTTTTACCGTACCGAAAACGTACCAAAAATTATCCAAACCATGACCTCAAAACTGAGGTATGTGCCGAACCGTGACTTTAGTTTACCATTACACCCCTACTGTCTCTGTGTATATTCTCTCCTGTAGTGGCCATATTTTTTTATGTTGTCTATGTAGTAATTCTAGAAGTCAGCCCCTGAGAGTATCATCTCCCTCCAACTCAGTTTAGAAACTTTTCTTCAAGTGTGAGTTTTTGTGTTTACCTGCAGTGGTAGGCAGGATCTCCTCTGTCAACTAGAATGGATGTGTGAAGCTAGAGGCCTTCTATCTTTGTTCATGGAGTACTTTTACAAAAGAGTTTTTTGATGGAAAAATGTAACTTGAAAAAAATGAATGCTTCCAAAAAGTCATTTTGTCCAGTAATTTAGTTTTCTCTGAATCGTACCACAATGTAGGAGTTGTTTATGTGGCATTTCCCACATCTATCTGCTGTGTCCTAAGTAAAGCACAGAGACTGTAAAAAACTGTAAGTGGTTGTCTTACCTTTAAATCACAACTGTTTGCTGTCCTGGTTCCCAAATGGTGGAACGAGCCCCACATTGAGATCAGGACAGCAGAAAGTCTACACATCTTCCAGCGCAGGCTAAAGATACATCTCTTCCTACTACACATTGGTTAAGAAGTCTGTTGTTTATATAAAAAAATTAAAAAGTTAGTTGTCCTTATATATGGCTCTTACATGTAGCACTTTATAGTTTGGCTTTTTTGAAGCCATTGTATTACATGATTCTTGCTGTTCTGGGTTTGTACCCTTATGGTTGAATGCACTTATTGGAAGTCACTTTGGATAAATTGCAGCTCAATGATATGTAATAATAATAAAAACTGATTGTCATTCTATCATGAGAACTGGATTTACATTATTTAAAGGATACCTATCAGTTGTGGGAATCTGATTTTCCATTTACCACACATGACATGTTCCACTGTAAGGTACTTGCTATGATTGGCTTAATATATTTTTGAAGTTTAAAGAGCTAATGTCATTTGTTTGTTTCTCATGTGTGTGTGTCAATGTGTCTGTGTTATGTTGCGTCTTTCTGTGTGTCTGTCTGTGTGTCTGTCTGTGTGTCTGTCGTCCCCTCCTCAGATCCAGCTATAAGGACTGTAACACCCTTCATCTCCCCATGGAGCGCTTCTCACCTGTCAGACGGTTTTCTGATGGCGCCGCCACCATCCAGGCTTTCAAGGCTCATCTAGAGAACAGCAGCCTCATTAAGCAACTAAAGCAGGTATATTACTCTATAGCTTTTTTTATTCTGGAAAATATTGTCTTTCGTCTCATATATGAAGAAATTTGAAGGAGTCTGGGTCAGGTGCATTCACAACAACAGGAAAAGGTCAAGCTGTGGCATCTGGGTAGAGCATGCAGGAGGCAGGAAATTATTGTAAATTCCACTCCGGAAATCAAGTATTTTTCTTCAACACATCAATAACAGCATCTGTCCTTATCGCCAAAAGATCTTGGATCTAGTTGTCTTTCCAAGTTAATATCTTTATCGGCATCTTCTATGGGTATGGCACCTCTTTCATCTTGAGATATTTGTAGTCCTTTTTTTTCAGTTTTGCCTTCATTGCATGTTAGAAACTCTATCAACAAGCCCACTCACTCATTGTGAATGTTCCTGGCATTGCCCTGCTGTATTGTCACATGGGCTCACTTTGACATTTTACTAGACAGCTGACAGGAAAATGTACAGATCAACTACTTAGTCTGATGTTTGTATTCTGACATTCAGCCCCAGGAAACTGTCCAGAGTTCAATGCACATGTAAAAGCAGCTAATGTTTACCCGAGGAATGTAGACGAGGAGTTAGGTTCAGGGATATAGCGAATAGCATGTTGATATCTCACCATGCTAATGATAGCATTGTAACAAACATTCAATATGTATCTATACACTTGTTATACATTGCACTAACCTGTTGAAGTGTTAGGCATGTTTTGGTTTAAAACCACAGGTAACTGTTTGATTTCCTAAACCTTCACTCAGGATAAAAATCAGTCTGAAAACTGGGAAGAAATAATGATTTGACATTTTTTGTAGTAAATATAAATATCCTGTACACTTCAAACTTAAAATGGGGAATGCTTTTCTGATGGTCTTATGGCAGATTTGGCAGAGCAGGGATCAAGCTTTGAGGAGCATTGGCAGTAATGTTTTTTTAAAGATTCTGTTTAGCAGATTCCCCTTTATTTGACTGTCATGAACATTGCAAAGTACAACACTGAAACAATTCAGACTCGCCGTGCGCTGTTTTAAGCACAGCGGAGATTATTTCTTTTGATGAGATCAATGGAAGTCTTTCACCTGAGAACACCTCAAGCTGCTTCTCGAGACATCACATCATTGGCAGTGACACTGCACTGCGATGACCTCACCCAGTAGGAGGCGTAGGAAAGGAAGAGATAATCATCATGTTTGCATTGGGTGCTTCATCTTAGGCATGCACTGACATGCCTGGATTATCTTTTCTCTCAAGTGTTAAGAGGGTTAATAGGGCTAAAGGAGAGGTTAACACACCTGACCTACACCGGACCCCCGCTCTAGCACTTTGGCCCAAGACAAATTTCAAATAAAGTATATTTGATTTGATTTGAAAACCTATAGGAGTGTACATATTTTTCATCTTGGAAGATACTGGGTGTAAACAAGCGCAGGGAAGATTACATGACTCAGTGTGTATTATATGTGTTATATCAGGTCATACAAGCTGGCAAGCCTGTTGCTTTCATAACTCTGGACTTCACCGAGCACTTAGAGGCAATAGGCTTCTACATCTCACTCATATGCAGCAGGAGACTGGTTCAGACTGGAATTCTGTAGAAGGATCTGCGTTCATCATTTGCAGCACAACTAGTTTTAGTAGCTAATGTGATTAGTATCATTAGCCTAATTGTTTGAGTGTACCTGTGCTGCTCATGCCACTCCAGCAGCTTTAGGCTTACAGCCAGTTGGTGACGCATGGTGTTAAACTTTGGTTCTACTGGGAGATTTAAAGAAGAGGAAAGTGTTGCCCCTGAACACTAAGCTTGGTGAACTGGTTAGTGCTGAGATTTGCTGCAGGAATTAATAGCAAGATGGGGAAATGCTTACAAAGCTACGTTTAACAACTTAGTTCTGATAAATTGATGATTGACTGTTGATAAATAATGTTGTGGGGTAGTAGGATAGAAATAACAAATAAAGATACATACATAATTTTGACCAAAACATGGGGTAAAAGTTTAAAATCTCTGTCATCTTTTATTATGACCTAATTTTAAATAATCATGTCAACACACTTCATGTCATGTCGTGATTTCTGCAGTTCAGGAAACTTTCAAAGATCAGCCTGCTTTTATCCAGAAGAAACCTAGAGATTATTATTCATCCTTTCTCCTCATTTGGATCACTACAATTCTTTCCTCACCTGCCTCAGCGTCGACTTTAATTACTGCTCGTCCAAAATGCAGCAGCCAGGCACCTCACCAAATCTGCTAAAAGCGAGAGCAACTTTTAAGGTCCGTGCTGGACTTGTAGCCAAGTACATTTCAGATCTTTTGACACCATATGTGCCCGGTTGCAACACGAGTTCCTCATTTATAGCCGTGTATGCCATTCCATTGTCCCGGCTGAGGGCCAAAGGTGACCAAGCCTTTTCTGTCAGGGCTCCCGGCCTTTGGAACAATCTCTTCCTGTGGAGAACTGTCTGGCAAACTCCTTATCCTCTTTCTAATCTCTCTTAAAGACTGTTCTGATCTTACTGACTATTTTAATCAATTGATAATGTTTTATTGTATCTTGTTTTTACTCCCTTCTCATCTGTAACATTTTGTTTTGTATCTGTGCTCTATTGCTGTGTGATTATTGTTTGCCTTCAATTTTTCATTCTTAATTTGTAAAACACCAAATAACTATCTTTTGAACTGTTGGATTAAATCGTATTAGTGAAGGATGCTTCTCTGGATCCATTAGTTTTTGTTTTTGAATTCAAATCAATAAAGTTTGCACTCCCTGTCTGTTTCCCTACAGGAGTGTGAGCAGCTCCAGAAAATGTATGCTGCCCAGCAGGATGAGCGATTCCTGGAGCACACCCAGCAGCAGCATATCCTCTACCAGCAAGAGCAACAAATCCTACACCAGCAAATCCAGGTATTTGAAGCTGATAAGGATGTTTCGTGAAGATGTTACAAACAAAAACTATGCAGAAATTGCCATGATATTTCATGCAGGACGGTATGAGCGTTGCTCTTACATTAAGCATGTACATATATTGAGCTATGCTGGAATGTATGTGTATGTGTTATGGGGCAGGCAGCAGGTGAGACTTTCTTCTGAATAAATTAGAAACCCAGTCAGACGCAAGGATTTATTTTATTGTGAACGTCTGTGACACCACTTTGTATCAATTCACTTCCGCTCAAATATGTGTCACTACTCACACTGAACTAGCTAGTACAATAAAACTGATCACATACAGACTAATTGTCAGTGGTGAATACTTTATCATTATTATGCTGCTTGTAAAAAGTGCCTCAACTTGAACAGGAGCACAGCCACTCACAATTTGATGTGAGTGGCTGTGTATGTAATATGTGTGTTCAATCACAGGTTGCAGGTTTGGATTTGACCTGGCTGTAAAGTTATGGTCCAAGTCTGTTACAGAGCTTTGCAGGTGCAGGCAGGTGTGGGTTTGCAAAAATGGAACAGGACTCTTAATTTAATGTTCATAGGTAGCACTGTTTGGTTACTTCACATGAGGCTTGGACATTTATCGTGGCCTCATTTGTCCCATCAGCTTGTGTCCTTCCTTTGGGACACGCATGTTTATTATTTGTATGTATATAATTTGATGTATTTAGCCTTACATGGTCATAATTACATTAACACATTTAAATTGAAGCTCTGAGCAAATTTATTTTTCATTTCTCTGCAGGGTCTGTCTTTAGGCCATGGAGAGAGCCAGCCTAGTCACCTAACCCACCAGCTTCAGAGGTGAAACATTAATATACACACACACACACACACACACACACACACACACACACACACACACACACATTAGTCATCAGCTATTGAACGGTGAATAATGAACCTGATACTGTGTTACATCACACCATTGTCGTTTCTCTCTCTTCTCTTCTCCTACACTGTCCTGTCCTCCCTCAGGTTGCGTATCCAGCCCTCCAGCCCTCCGCCAACACATCCCAGCAACCACCTCTTCAGACAGACCAATCAGAGCCCTCCGCCTGGCTCTGCAGGCATAATGCAAGGACATGGTTAGTAATACCATTCCAAGAGGGCATAGTGCAATACCTCTCATATTCTAAGTGGTGTAGGTAAAACGGTGCATTGTACTGTCCAGTCATCAGTTTACTACTAATCTTTTATTTTTTTATTTTTTTGAGTTGGTTTGACTTTATATACCCACTAGCTTTTGTCATCTGTATACAAATACTGACTTTTATTTTGGGGAAAACCTTCTACTTTTAAGTTTCTCCTCTCCCTCCTCCTCTCCTCTCCCAGGAGGTCCATCACAGGTGCAGTACCAGCACGGTGCTCCAGCTATGTACCAGGGACAAAGTGGTAGCCCTCCTCCCACAGGTCTGCCTCGAGTTACATTACCAACCAATCAACAAGCACCATCCACTCGCCCCACTGTCCCATTGGCCCAGGGTGTACCTCAGCAACAGCAGGTGACTACAAAGAGCCAATCAAATTATGGCTCTTGTCATTTGTTTCTCAGCTGATGATAACATGTCCATGTGACTGAGGATCATAACCCTTTTTCCTGATCAACAATGAGTATTAACATAGATTGTTTGTATAGGTGACTATCCAAGTGCAGGAAGTGGAACTCGGAGGTGGGGCGCAGAGACAGTGCAGCTTTTTGTCCACGCCAGGGGGACACAGAGTCCTCGGGAAGCAGCTGAGTGCAGACAACGCCGAGATGCACAGGTGACCCCACCCATCCCTTCACCACGTCCCCCCCGATGGCTGCCAAACCCTACCAGCAATACCTTTGGACTGTTTCTGTTTCGTCATCTTCATCCATCTTTTTGTTTTACTTTTTCTTAATACTCATCATGACCTCACCACCCTGAACCCTGCATGCTATATGATGTATTTTTACGTTTTTCATTATATGTTTGTTTTGTTTTTGTTTAACACTGCTATTTCTTTCAACTGTATTTTGAAACTTGATAGTAATACTGTTACTCAGGCTAGAAAATATCTGTGTGAATCGGCAGACAATGAGGACATTGTTTATTACTTGGATTTAAAATTACTAACATCCTACTTCAAGTTTGCCAGAGATGATGTCCTCGACACATTCTCCACTACAGAGTAGCTGGGTGAGTGGTTGGATGTAGGTGTTTTAGGAGCACAGTATATATGTTGAGGTCCCAGCAGTTGGAGTAGGAGATCAGTCATCCTGTGACCCCTGATATCACCATCCCATGAACAGTCCCCGGTAACCAGGAATGCCTTCACTGAGAGAACATGTAATAATCTTCAAATACACACCAATCTAAATTGATCAATTGAAATATCTTTACACCTCTTAGTGAACATTTGAACCTGGACCGATCCTGAAGTGTTTGCTAGGCTCTCTGTGTGCAGTGACTTAATGAAGGTGTCCTGTATATTGTTGAAAGCAAGGTGATGGAGTTGCACCCTAAAGAGGAGTAGGAGCATGTTGCTGTAGAAAACAGGTTGCTAATCATCCTGTGCATTCCCTCTTCCTATCCAGTCGCAGCCTTGGCCGCTTCACATCAGCCTATGAGCAGGCACAGTTCAATGCCCACATCTTCTCTGGTGGTGACGCAGCCTCCCGGGGCGCCTCTTTCAGCCCATACCTGCAGGGAGCCTCCCTTAAAGTCCCCGGCCTGGAGGGTTACCAGAGCGGGGCGGTGGGGGCCAGCAGCTATGGCACACCCTCTACACTACAGCAGGCCCTGCTCTCCCCAACTCCTTTGGACTACCGCCCACCACAACAGCACGTCACTCCTACTCTGCAGGGCCTCCTTTCCCCCCGGCACTCTTTAACTGGCCACACTGATCCCAGGTTACCCCCCCAAGACCTAGCTGCCCTGCTGAAGAGGCAGAGCCCTCGGCCGTGCCCAGCACCCCCCACACCACCCAGTGGTCCACCCCAAGAGTATGGAGAGATGCTGCTTCTCCACCAGCTGAGCCAGGGTGAGAGCTTGGATCCCCAAGTGCCGCAAGGTGCCTCCGGAGGCCAGCACTACCTCCACCTCCTACAAATTCGACCCCCAGATGTCCAGCCACAGCAGCACCCAGCACAGGCACCTTGCCCCACCTTACCTCACTCAGAGAGCATGGAGGAGGATGAGGTGCCGACTGGCTACCACCACACGCACGAGGGCCTGCTGGCCAAGGCAGGAGAAGGTCATGAGCTCTTGGGGCCTCCAAGAGGAGGCACCCCACCCTACAATTCCCCAACACACAGGCATGGCGGCTTCATCAGGAATGCTCCAGCAACAAGAGGTAAGACCTGCTGACATGTGTCTTATGAAACTTGTTTTTTGTATTTTTTCACACTATAACGTACTTAATGTTTTCTATTAGAATCTGAGCATGTGGAGTGCAGGACCCCGGGGCAAGCCATGGAGGTGCCTGATCATAACGGTGTGGGATATTCAAGAGGTCCCCAGGGTGACGCCTATAGGTCCCGTGGACAGCTACAGCGCCACCACACCATCCAGACCTGTGATGATGCCTTTGTGAGTGAAAGTCTGCTAACGATTTACTTAGAACAGATTGGCCACATTTCAATTTGAGAAGCTGTAGAAGGCCTGGTGCGTAATGTTTGATCAGACTGGGCCTTTAATGTACTGTAAGGTGAGGTGTAAGGAGGCATTGATACACTGTTGCAAACCAATCATCCAAGACAAAGTCCTTATTTAAGTAGAAGCTGTTATTAAGCATCATTCATTTTACTTCCTGCTCAGGACCAGGCAGAGCCAATGTCTGGAATGAGCCTGTTGGCTGGAAAAGCATTAAGCTCCGCTCGCATGTCAGACATCCTCAGCCAAACATCACTGACAGGAAGCCAGCAGCTGCACCACCGGGAAGAGTCAGGTCAGTAGGAAATATGAGATAATCGGAAACTGTGGATTTTCTCTTTGTGTGTCTTTAAATTATATATGTTTCTCATGCAGTTTGTGATGTTGAAGGGGAGCTCCATGCAGCAGCCTGCTACCCCTCCTCCTGCACCAGTGACATGCTCCTCAGCTACAAGCCCCCGGACCTGCAGTACAGCATGGAGCAGGCTGGGGTCTAGCACAGGTACACACACTAAGCAAAGGGTTTATCTTCACTTCATATACAAGAATTACTTGGATAGCTACAAATGCATGTAACCCATCAAGACCTGAGGAGCTGAATGAAAACACAACCTGACATCTAATCATTGTTTGAAAACAACCACCTAAAATCTGAGAGTTTTCTGGAGAGCTGACAGAAATATTTATTGTTGTTTTAGTCAGTGAAACTATGCTGTGGTCGGCTTCAATATTAAAATGCTGCTTGAAAATGTTTTGCAGAGCGTTGAAGAGCAAATTACACTTCCCATAAAGCACGTAACCTTTACCACAAGTATTTTAGCGAATCGCGCTGTATATCATCAATCAAATTTTTTTTTAAACGACATCCTGTCTCATCCAGTTCCAAAAGTGTCGCTAAGAGGCTGAGGTAGGGCCTAATAACTTGCATGATGCGCTGATCCAAAAACCACTGCAATCAGTCAATATGCATTCAAACCTTTTTAAATCGACTTGTTGAGACATGCACGAAATTGAAAATAGCTGGTTGCGTAGAAAAGTACTTATTTCACACTGAATACTATGAAAGACTTGCAGCATCATTTTTTTGTTACACTAATTATTGTGTATTTTTTCTTTCCCTCCTGGAGGAAATCGTGTCTCCTGTGTACAGCGGTCCATATCAGCCATCCTGAGTTGTGTTGACTTGTGTTGAGCAGCATCACGCCAAACCACCTTCGTCTCCCTAAGCAGGGGGACACTCTGCGTCTATCTGTCTGTCTCCATCTGTCTCTGGGAGAGCAGTTTGCGCGAGAGAGGGGGAGTGTGGATAGGTGTAGACATCCGATAGGTGGGGTGGGGGGGTCACAGGTGGGGCCCTGGGGTTCACAGGTCACAGTGCCAGCATTTTCTGCAGGGACATCCAGCGTCCACTGCTGCAGGATGTCTCCTCTTTTCACCTCCCGTCGTGTTGGTAGATCGGGGTTCCTATTCCTCCCCCTTTGCAACTCGACAACCAGCCCCCCCACCCCTCGCTCCCATACAAACCTGCCCCCTGCCACACCCCCCACACCCACCTGCTGCCCTGACCTAAACCTCCCCCTCTCACCCTTCGTCCCGCTATTAACTGGCATACTTCGTTATGTGCCTCATCGGCCAACGCATCGATACAGTCACACTCACAAAGAACATGGAGTCCAGCACACACACTCACTGCTGCCACATACCCAAAGTATTCACATTTGGCGTGAGTGTGCATGTGTGACTGAGAAGAAGGCGTGAGCGGACATGAAGGTTGTCTATGAGAATCAGTCTGCCACCCTCCCCTTTCCTGCTGACCCCGCGGCAGATCATGCCGGCGCAGGCCGAAATCTCGACTGTTGCGACTCCTCCCCCCTTTTTTGTCCGGATGGCGGGTGGTGTTTTGGATTTAGGCTCCGATCAAGCTCCAACTGGGCAACAAAACCGCTCTCTCTCCAAAGACAGAGCTCAGTGACATCGCACAGGACAAACCAGCTCTCATAGTTTTGTTTGTTTGTTCTCTTGTTCTGGTATTTTTCTTTGTTTCTTTTAATTTTATTTTTAAATTCATTTTTACGGCTAATGTCCATGCAGGCATTATGGTCAATATTGTTATTCTTGTTGTTATTACTGTTTTCTGTAAAATAAGTTTTATTCTGATGATGATGATTATTATTATTATTATTATTATTATTACAGTTCTGTGTTGCGAGAAAGACAACATTGTTCTTTGATTACTTAAGTAATTCTGCACTTTCGGTTCAAGCTATCTCTATCCTCTACCCTCTCTCTGTTTCCACCCTCCTCACAGTCCTTATTACCCGTCACGATGTTTCCCTGCTTCTCAATTCCACCCCCCACCCCTTTTCCAACCCTAACTTTCCTCACCTTGTTTTCACCTCTTTTTTCCATCCTGCCTTTCCCCCTATGTCAGTGACAGTGTATTGCATTGTGGGTAGATTTACCAGACCTTCGCTCCTTTCCTTGTACAGTGATGCCATGTATAGAATGCTATTGCAATTTCTGTATCAACATTTTTTTTTTGTTACTTTCTTTTTGTCTTTTTGTTGTTGGGGAGGATTTTTTATATTGCTATTGTTTTATCATTTGTACTTTAAAGTGTTCTCTTTTTGTTTTTTTGTTTTTTTTTGTTTTGTGAATCTTTGAGATTTCTAGCCAAAAGAGGACGGAGAGAAGAGACACTGCTCTTTCTGTCCCGTTAAAAAAGATTGTTCTTATTTGTTCTAATATTATTATATTGAGACACTTGAATAAGAGGAGAGTAATTATCTTGTGTTGCTCTTTAAAGTATAATTTCAGTCCTTGATGTTGTGACTGTCATTCTTGTTGATGTTTGGGCCTGTTTTCTGTTAACGTTGTAGTTGCGGCAGGCTATACAGGGTCAGGCTTTGGGCTTTGTCTGGGTTGGCTCGGGTGCTACAGAGACTTTGACACACTTAAAAAAAAAAAAACAGAAGACAAAAAACAAGGGAATAACTTGTAAAATAGCTGACATATCATCCTGAACATCACAAGTGTGGAGATGGACAAACCCACTTCTCTTTCTCTCTCTTGCTGCCCTTCATGTCCGCTGAGATCCTCACCATCTTTTACTACATCTGCCTCTGATTAGATGAAGCATCCTGGACATGGCCCCCTCCTCACAAGCTAATCTTTTATTGCAACCAAGGAGGAAACTACAACTGCTTTTACTCAACTGCCCTCACCCTTCTTTTGATTATCTTTAACTTGTGTTAGCCCCCTCTCCCTCCCTCAAGCATGGAAGGAACAATCAGAGAAGGCGACGGTTACATTTCATGAACGGTTAATGGATCCTCTCTTATGACAAACCTCCAAAGCTTAAAAGGGAAACATTTATTGCAGAAGGTGACCATAGATGAATTAAGTTTTCCTGCTGCGGAGGAATACAAGGTTGCGGTCGGTGCAGGGCGAGGCGTGCCGACCTTAAACATGTCTACCAAGGTCTGTCCACCCTGAGCTGAGTGGAGCTGGAGCACAGCCACATGGAGGCAACAGCACCCTGGGGACCACAGACGAGGATTGAACGCCCCACCCTTTTAATTTCAATTTACTTTATTGTTTAACCTCTATTTATCCTCCCATATACAGTACAATACCCCTGGATATAGAGTCTATATTGGGCCAGTAAGAGACTGGTGCAAAGAAATACTGTTTGTGTTTATAGTGGCCAGATTTCACAATACCTGGCTGCATGGTTGACACTGTTTGCTATGTACATGAGAGAATTGTAGATGGTGTCATGCAGCGCCTGCTGCTTTCCATTCACATCACGTCACTTCCTGTTTACCAGCAGTTACTCATATTCATTTTTTCCTCTTTCAGATCTTAACTGCTGTTTTCTCTCATTGTTTACACCAAGCCAAAAAAGTGAGATCTGGAAGAGAAAGAACTGAGTACTTTGATGTGTTTCAGAGGAAACGTCTGCATGTCTCTTGTCTCATGACAGGATAGAAACTCACAAAGAGAAAAACTCAGACACTGTGTCTGATACTGTGACCAGTGGCACACAGGAAAGGAGCGCTGGAGGGAATGGAAAGCACTGCACATGATTCAGAGGTAATGGGGAGAGAGCTGCTTCACGCACACATCTCCTGCCCGATCAGAGCAACCTTGCACCCTGACCCTGCTCCTTCTCTCCTTTTTGTCTGATTCTCTCCATCCCTGACGTTCTTTTTCTTTTTCTCTCCATCCCAGCCTCACTTCTTGGGCAGCCAGCTCTCTGCTCCTCTCATTAGGTTCGTTTTCTTTTCAATTGGTTCTTTTTTTGTTTGTTTTTATGTTCACTTCTGTTGAGTACAAAAATACTAAAGTGCAACAACAATGATTAAAAAGAATATCAACCAAACTGAGATGAATAAATAAATATATATAAATAAAGAAATAATTTAAAAAGGTCATGACTTGTGTGTCTTTGTGTTACCAGTTACAAACCGGTCTGAACAAATATTATAATAATCCCAAGCTTTTAGTTCAGTGTCACACTCCTATGCATGTGCACTGGAGGTCTTAAAGCTAGGGTTGGTAATCCTTGAAGAGCAGGCTGCACTGTAACTGCTACATCCCACCCCTTCCCACCAGCACTCTCGTCAAAGCTACAGCCCCCAAACACATGAATGTGCACTGACTGATGACTGATACGCCGATGTTTCGGTGACTCGCTCACTAACTTCATCGCACACACAGGCGGGTCGGTCATTTGATCTGAATGAAATGATAGGACTTTTTTTATTATAGTCCTGTGAGGGCCACAGATACCGCTTTTCTTTTTCTGGCGACGTGAAGAAGATTTCAACAAATAAGATAAAAAGTTTCAGAAACTAATTACCAACCCTACCTTTAAGTCTCTGATTGGCTACCAAACTTGTTGAGCTGTCACAGCTTGATGTGAATGGGATGTTGGATTTTATTTATCACACTGATGTTTGTCCAAGTCTTGGGGTGAAACTCTACGATTGAGAGCTGAGACTGACTCGCAACTGGTCAAGAACAGCACAACGAAGGAGGTGAAGACGCGTCTTGGATGGCACGACAGCATGGAGGCATTTTTAGTTTTTTTTTTTTAGTTTTCCATTGAATTCAATTGTATTAGATTTGGCTGCAACACTGTTTACCCCTGGTACTCCAAAAGTGTTTTGTGGACTCAAACTCTTCACCCACCCCTCCATCAGCGGCGTGGTGAGTAGATAATGAGTGATTTTCAATTTTTGGGTGAACGTATCCCTTTAAGACTTTTTGCTGTTCAGCATGTGTGCATTCTTTGTTAGAGGTATTTCATCCAGCAGGTGTAAAGACAGGAGTTAGCTGACTGTGTCTCACACCAACCAGTCCTGTCAACAGTCTGAACACAGAGGTATGTGTCTCAAGTGTCTTCATATGCAGCTGATTAACCTCCACTTATAAAGTCTTAATGTTTCCCTGCCCTCTGCTGACCTTGTTCTCAAGGTGCTTTGATGTTATGAGGATTAGTATTGAGTGTAAGGACGTAGTATTTGTTAGATTCACACTGGACTTCTCATTACAACATGTCTAATGGCTGCAGTGTTCTGCATGCTGCTGCTCTGGTCTGAACAGCTGCAGTGCAGAGTCTTTCCAGTCTGAAGTAACTGAGCTCAGACAGCGTGAGCCCTGTAGTGTGTCAGCGTTTGTGTCTCAGGGGTTGTTTTAACATGCCTGACGATGGACTGGAGCAGTGGATGATGGGAAAAGATGTTATCTCTCTGAACTGACAGTTTCCTCTATTCTATCCACCACAACACCATGTCCAGTCCTAGATCATTAAAGATTGATGTTTTACACAGAGCCTCTCTTGTCTTCAAGCCGGTACATCCTCCTCTCCTCTCTTCTCCTCTCCTCTCCTCTTCTCTTCTCTCTTCTCCATCTTTCTCTCTGCATCCTCTGCTCATTAACCTCTCCCTCTTCTCTTTCCCATTTCCCTTCATCTCCTCCGCTGCCTCCTCCTCTTCTCACCCTCCTCCCTTCCCACTCTCAGAGTGGCGACAGCGTGACTGCCTGCGTCAGCCGGCCCTGGCAGCCCCTGCCAGCTTGTGAACGCTGCGACTGGAGCTGCCGTATACCTTGCAGAGAGCCCTGTTTGTGTGTATGTGTGAGTGAGTGTACGCAGATGGGAGAGCAACTGAGTCAGGGAGGGCTGCCTCTCATCTCTCTGCTGTTACCACCATCCGTCACTCTCCCTCCTCTCCTCCTCTGCTGCCATGGAGCTCCAGCAGGCTGAATCCCAACAGCGTCTGCAGAAAGGGCTGAGGTAATGTATTGTGTGTATTGTGAATGGTGTTATTTCTGCATGTAGGTGCACACATCTCTACTGAAATGTCTGCATGCATCCTCGCAAAGCGCAGTATGTATGTGTGTGTGTGTGTGTGTATCACCACTGTAATGTATAGCCCCTTGCAGCCTATCAAATTGCCCCAGTTGTCAGTGCTAATCTAGATTCCCCAGCCTAAGTGCAAAGAGCTATAACACCTTCTATCACGTGTGCATGTGGTGAAAACAACTGTCTTTGTGTGTGTGTGTGTGTGTGTGTGT